TGGAAAGAAATTATTGGATTCTAGATTTATTCTGGAGGTGGTGCAGACAGATTTGCCAATGGATTGGATGTGACGTATAAGATAAAAAGAGAAGTCAAGAATGATTTCAAGGTTTTTGGCCTTAGTCAGATGGGTAAATAGAAATGCTATTTGCTGAGATGTGGGATATGGAAGGACAGGCATGTTTGGGGAGAGTGTAATCATCAAGAACTGTTCTGGCCATGCTACTAGACATCCAAACGAAGGTGCTGAAAAGGCAGCTGCCTTCTACAACTCTGGAGTTTAGGGAGAAGTAATCATCATTAGTATCCACTTTATTTCCATTTCCCAGGAGACAGATTACAGTGTATTAAGGCATTTTCCAGCTCAAATATTGTCTGGCCCTGCATGATCTGGCTCCTGGAGGTTCCTGGATGAACTTCAGGTAAAAGGGGTAACGGCTAGAAAGAGCAATGTCTACTGCTGCTGAAGTCTAAAAATAAAGTAGTTTTGAGGCAGGAGGTGATAAATGGCCTCTTGTAGCCCAATACCTACCATAGCATCCTAGGAGGCAATGGGCATTTCTCTTGTTTAGTGAGAGATCAAGGCAGACCAAAAGCTACCTACCATTTCAAAACTGTCTGCCTGAAAAGCACAGATACAGGGACTCTATTGTGACAAAGTGGAGTTGGTGAGAGAGGCTGAGATATGTGTACTAGTAGTTCCACAGGATATCAGAGTCAAGCATGTGACAAGCTAAGTAAAGTGTGGTAAGCAGCTGCACCCATCCTTTTCAGAAGCGTATGTCCTAGATGGAGTTGGGTACCCCTCCTCCATGGTTCCCTAATAGGCAGCATATGTCTGTATTATCATTTACAGTAAGCCCCCGACTTACGAACATTCAAGTTGCGAACTTTCACAGATACNAGAGGGAAAAATACTTACTTTCCTCCCCTATGCTAGTAAGATGTTCTTTTCCCCCAAAGTTACTTTTGCTCCAGACTCTAAAGAGCAGGCTCTATATCTCCACTCTTCCTTAAGCTATGTACTAAAGAAAGTTATGAGTATTAATTAGGTTGAAAGCTATGAAATTTTGTTTTTTCTAACATGGTCAAATAATGACAATTCCATATGGTTCAACCTAATCTGGCATTAACAGATTTCCATAGACTCTAGCTCCAGGGCATAATATCCCAACACACCAATTTTCCATAAAAAGAGCATGGGAATAAAATTAGGAAAAGGGAGTGAGGTACTTTTTGCCCCAACAGAGGATACCCTAACAGAATAAATTTCACATACGTTTAGTTATTAGTCTACATTTTTACTGACAAAGTCACATTTGATTAGAGCTTTAGTTTTTAAAATCCTTTCAAGCATTTATTGCATCAAAACCCAACAAATTTGTGAAAAGGATAGTTTATGGAAGAGAAAATGATGTTGGAAAGGACCTACTCATAGTCAAGTGGCCAGAGAGAAGTAAAGCTGGACTCAAACCCAGGTCCTCTTTTTCCTAGTCTACCTCTCGTAAGTTAATCTTTTAAATCAATGGCTCCTAATTTTTTCCCTATTACCACAGTATTTACAGAAAAATCTTATTCCCATAAGTAATATTTCTTATTTCTGGCAGTGAGTCTCCAAAATAATGAAGAGGAGAGGAACATCCAGCTCTACACCCACCTCCCCAAGATGGGAGTAGGGGAACATAGTCTGAAAAAACAAAACAAAACAAAACCCTGGAGATTCTCACATGCTTCTCCCTACTTTCCCACTGTGCTACTCCCAGCCCCCAGTCACTCTTTTAATAGTCCAAGAATCACTGGTTTCACAGTTATATGCCAGCCAACTATCAAAAAAATTTTTTGCATGGGTAGTAAGCCATGTTTTTCTCCGTTCTGGAAAACTATCACTTACCAACATCCTTTCGAATTCTATACAGAAGAAGATGTCCTTGTTTGGTTCCAACAAGAAGCCATTCCTCTGGAAAAGAAAAGAGATATGAGAAGTTAATCAGCTTTAGTAAGACCCTGTTTCTTTATCTGGAGGTTATAATCAGAATCAAAGAGTCAAGAAAATGAGTTGTTGGCAAAGATTAGGGAAGGCATTTTTTGCAGAGGAAATAACATGAACTACAGTTTAGAGGGAGGAAAACACAAAGCTGGGAGAGAAGCATGGAACAGACTCTTCCCCACAGCCTTCAGAAGGGACCACCCCTGCCGACATGTTGATCTCAGACTTCCGGCCCCCAGAAATGTGAGACAATACATTTCGATAGTTTAGGCCACCCAGTTTCCGGTAGTTTGTTATGGCAGCCCTTGCAAACAAATACAGCTNGCGGTTTGAGTCCCGGCCCGAGCTGAGCAGCCACTGAGCTGCTAACAGGTGGCAGGATGGCTCAGCTTAAAGAAAAAAAATCCCACTCACCATCCCCCTAATCTCATCAGAAAGATCTTTAAGTGCTGAGAAGCTGTCAAGCTCATGAGGTCAGTACAAGTTTTCTGCAATTTTCTCTTGAAAGCTCTAATTTTATCACTAGCAACAAATACTGCCAGCTGTTTTCTTTGAAGTGCCAGACTCCATTTGCTCATTTCTGAGAAAACATCTACCAAGTACTCAAGTGGTCTGAAAAGCCACGGTCTGTCAGTCATTCTTTTAAGCAAAAGTGATGCTCCAGGAAAAAAGTGGCCAGTTCAGCTCGTAACTGAAACACTCGCAGAAGTAGTTTTTCAAACCAACAGAGCCACTGGGCTTCATGCCTCAGCACCCAGCAGAGGACGTTATATGTGCTTCCCATTACATCATAGAGATTATTAAAAAGGTGTGTCCTCAAAGGTGAAGATATAATAAAATTCATAATTTTTACTGCCTCACAAAAAACATTCATAAGTGAAACTAGCTTTAACAAAACCAAAACCAAAACCACTGCGAGTGCATGCTAGAGAACACAACTACTAGTACAGTTTGGTACTGACAAGTTTGCTGACCACTGTCTTGAACTTGCGCTAAGGGGCCGGCTGTTTTAGCTACCATTGCTTTTGTACCATCAGTGCAAATGCCAATAAATGTCAGTGAAAAAAAATATAACGTTTTAGTGTTACCATGAACTTAGTTTTGACTTGTGGATTCTCTGAAAGGATCCTGGGGACCCCCTGGAGTTTATAGACCACATTTTGAGAACCATTGCTCTAGGGCAATAGCAACACTGAAGTAAACCTAAACTTGTTAAGACCGCAGATGTGAACTAATCTAACTTCTATGTTTAAGATATGAGTAGAATGAGGCCTAGAGATATTTTTGAGCCCCAAGCGGAGGGCTCAGGTCAAATCAGAACCCATGTCCCCTTAATCCCAGTCTTTCCATGACATCTTATTACCCTCTCCCTTTCCTCAGAAAGACAATCTAGTTGCAGTTTAAAATCCTGTTTAAGTTTGAAATATCTCAAATTTAAAGACGAGTTAGTTCTATGGCTGATTCACTGAGGCCCAGGTCCATTTCTGGCCCACAAACAGACCAAAGCTGGGCCAGAACGAACCTGTTTTCTAAGGTACAGGAAGAAGTGAAGTCTTGAATCAGAGTTTGATTTCCTAATTGTCTAGGTTAATATTGCTAGTCAAGTAACCTATGGGGAAGTTGAGGCCCAAGAAGATTAACTAACTTGTCAAAGGTGACATAGTGAATTGATCACAAGGCAAGGAACAGTCACCACCAGGGTTCCAAGTCAGATTAACACTGATATTATCAGCTTGAGTATACCACTGGGTTGTCGGAAAAGTCAGGACGTATTTTTTCTGTTTTTCGTTGCAAAATGCATCATGACTTTTCCAACAACCCAATATGTTGAAATGCTTATTTTTATAATCTAGTTTTCAATTCCTTACTACTTACACAAACGGTATATTAAATTTGTGAAAACGATAGTTTACTGTGGTATTTAGTATTTGATGGCACAAAGAACTGATTATCTATTAGGAGAAAAGAATATTAGGCTCTCTCATCTCCCCATCCTGCACAGTGTCTGATCCCACAGTAGATAGTCAAAACATAGCTGCTGAATGATGAATAAAATCCAAGACAAGCTTAATTTTCAAATCACAGACTTGATACATGTCACAGAATGCAAATATTCTACCTCTGACAACTAAAAATTTAAAGCAAGGGCCACCAAGTNCAAGAAATGGCTTTCAAAGCTACTTACATTAGGGGGCTCCAACAAGAGAAAGGAAACCCCCTGTAGATTTTGTACAAACCCATAGCAAGGATTTCTTTTCTAGCAAAGCAAGCAAAATAATTTCACTTGGGCCTCCTATCTAGCTGTAGTTATGAAGATTTAGTTACTTTAAAAGTTCTTCTCTCAACCGAGAAACTAAAACAATTCTACCATTTGGGCCCTGGGCTGAATAGTAGAGAGCGTGAGGCAAGTTTCTGGTCCTCTGCTTGTCAAGACAAGGCCTCACTGCTGGCTCCCACGACACTGTGGCTTTTCACACAAGGCACTGAATAGTCCAGCTGTGATCTCTTACCTGCTTCTCACCACTTCCCACTGCACATCCTAAGTCTGGCCAGAAATCAGGGCCTTTGCTTAAGCTGTTTCCTTTGCCTATAATGCTCTGCCTACACTCTGTTTCTGTCAAAATTCTAATCATCCACTGGATAATGCGGTCCCTCCCACAACACTTTTCATAGATCATCACACTGTATCACAATTACTTTTTGTCATTTCAGTCTTCAAACTCAGAACATAAATTTCAAAGGTAGAGACCATGTCTCATTCAACCTGGTATCCCCAATGCCTAGAGGAGGGCTCAATAAATATTTGTTTGATGAATGCATGAAGTGACACTCCTTGGAGAACAGGGCTCAATTTTATGAGGGATGCTGTGGCCTTTATTACCTGTTGTACCCTGCTATGTCTGGTTTGGACCATGTGGGTTTCACTGTTAAGTAATGACTATCAAATTAACCATGAAAGAGTTAATTAAGTTTTTTGACACATGAAATATAAACATAACCCCTTTTCTTACCTAACAAGCTGACCAGAATCTTAAACTGGGAAACCACATGGATCTGGAAAACAGCAAGTCATTAGGGTCAATTAAACATTTCTGACAAGGTTTAGTAAATGTTCATTTAACTACAGTACTGAAAAGGGACTAAAGAGCCTATACCAATGACAGGGATCTAATGTCTATTTATGTGCAATCACAATTTCTGCTTGTGAAAGGGGATCTCAGGCACATGATGGATTGACAGAGATCCTTGCATAAATGGAAGGACACAGAGCAAAGGATTCAAAGAGTTCATAAATAATGTTACCAAAGTTCCAGTTTTGACAAGGTTTCATGAAAGTCCAATATTCTTGTAGCCACCACCATCACTGCTTACCTGCTGAATCTTTTTGGAGAAGTTCTTATTGGATTTCTCTAGTGTCACTTCAAACCTGTTGCAGCCTATGGAAAAGAAATAAACATTCACAGTTCCAAACATAGGGATACATTCAAAAACAACTAAAACAAAAAATGCTGCTCCATACTGTTCTCCTACATGAATCTTAAAATTTCCTAAAAAGACCAGAAGTCGGAGATCTAAAATTGCCGACTGTTTTTATTGCATATAATAAGTTGCTTTCAACTCCAATTTTAGAACAGAGGGTTTCATGCACTTCCACTTGGCTTAGCAGAAAGGATCACACCACAGAAGTTTACTGAAGCTGCAAGGTACTTATGAGTCTGAAGATCTTATCCTACAAAAGAGTACCTTGGCAAAGTGTTTCACAGAAAGAGTATAAAAAGTAACAGTCAAATGTAAGAGCCCAAGCAATGAAACCCAGCCCAAAGCATCCTTAGATCTAGACCCAACTAAATCCCAGCAGCTACCCTATGTTCTGCATCACTCAGAGCAAACACTCAACACCATCCCCAGAGCTAAAGCAATTGAATGCATCTACACTTACTGCCACTTTCAGGTGATGCTACATCTGTTGGCACTGTTGCAAAAAAGGGGAAGAGTTATATAGCATAAAAACACGTGAAGCCAGNGGGAATAGTGCCTTCATCAAGAGTAGAAAAAGTGGAGATGGAAAGAAATTATTGGATTCTAGATTTATTCTGGAGGTGGTGCAGACAGATTTGCCAATGGATTGGATGTGACGTATAAGATAAAAAGAGAAGTCAAGAATGATTTCAAGGTTTTTGGCCTTAGTCAGATGGGTAAATAGAAATGCTATTTGCTGAGATGTGGGATATGGAAGGACAGGCATGTTTGGGGAGAGTGTAATCATCAAGAACTGTTCTGGCCATGCTACTAGACATCCAAACGAAGGTGCTGAAAAGGCAGCTGCCTTCTACAACTCTGGAGTTTAGGGAGAAGTAATCATCATTAGTATCCACTTTATTTCCATTTCCCAGGAGACAGATTACAGTGTATTAAGGCATTTTCCAGCTCAAATATTGTCTGGCCCTGCATGATCTGGCTCCTGGAGGTTCCTGGATGAACTTCAGGTAAAAGGGGTAACGGCTAGAAAGAGCAATGTCTACTGCTGCTGAAGTCTAAAAATAAAGTAGTTTTGAGGCAGGAGGTGATAAATGGCCTCTTGTAGCCCAATACCTACCATAGCATCCTAGGAGGCAATGGGCATTTCTCTTGTTTAGTGAGAGATCAAGGCAGACCAAAAGCTACCTACCATTTCAAAACTGTCTGCCTGAAAAGCACAGATACAGGGACTCTACTGTGACAAAGTGGAGTTGGTGAGAGAGGCTGAGATATGTGTACTAGTAGTTCCACAGGATATCAGAGTCAAGCATGTGACAAGCTAAGTAAAGTGTGGTAAGCAGCTGCACCCATCCTTTTCAGAAGCATATGTCCTAGATGGAGTTGGGTACCCCTCCTCCATGGTTCCCTAATAGGCAGCATATGTCTGTATTATCATTTACAGTAAGCCCCCGACTTACGAACATTCAAGTTGCGAACTTTCACAGATACGAACGGACCTCACATTACGAACATTTGTAGATGCGAACAAATCGCAGAAGTAGCTCACGGGTGTAAGCTCAGGTGTGGGCCACATTCTATCTTGCTCTCCATCCCCTATTGCTGATGATCCTTCATCTCCACCATGTCCCACCTACCCTCCCTCCTCCAGTTGGTAACTCCCTTCTTGTCAGTTCACTCCATGCAATCCCCTATATGCCAGTTGTTGTACTGTACTGTACCACCATTTTAAGGTAACTGTAAAAGTAAAAATAGTTTATTTACAGTATTTTTATGTGTGTTTAGATTTTTTATGCTTTACATTGTATATTTGTGTCCAAGGTGTATAAGACTCACTTTATCGGACTTACGAACGAATCCGACTTACGAACATTCTCCTGGAACGGAACTCGTTCATAAGTTGGGGATTTACCGTATTTTATGTCATAATCTGTTTATGTCTTTGTCCCCCTGTGTGTCCTAGAAGCACAGGCACTGTGTCTTAGTCATCCTTGTATTCCTGTCCCTAGCAGAAAGACTAGTCCATGCAGACATAATACATATTTGATGAAGAAATCGGGGAATAAGTCCCTTTGGGCAGTGTCAGGTCTTTGGGCAGTGTCAGGAGAAAAAAAAATTTTCTCCTCTATTTTTAATTCTTACTGAGAGCACTTAATGACAGAAAATAGAGGCTTACTTGAGCAATCTGGAGGAAGCAGGATTCTCTCCTTAGCTCAAAGGACTAGGACAGTTTACTGTAGAGGTATGATTTTAAAAGAGGCCAAAGGCTGCTAAAGACAGGAAGACGGCACATTAACATGAAGATCTGTCATGAAAGCACCCTGAAGAAGAGGCTATGTAGAACTCTGCAGGACTGACTGGGCGGCACTGTCCACAGATGATGGACAACATGCCAGCCACCACCAAGATTCCACCAGGTCCATCACGGGTACTTAGCTCAGTATGAGATCTGATTAGGGGTCCTGAGCCACCTTTTTAAGGCCCTTGATTTCTAGTACCTAGACATTATCAGGAAATACTGAAATTATTTGTTTGGTCTTTGGTGGCTGCTAGGCACAATTACTCATAGATAAGAGCATAATGTTCATAGTTAAGAGTCAAGGTTTAGACTCCTGAAACCTTTTGTATTCCGGAGTGTACTAGAAATAAGAGGGGCCTGACCCTGCTTTCTGCTCTGGCCACTCGCCAGAGGATTATGCAAGTTTTTATGGGTTCGATTTCATGACAGCCTGGAGTGATGCTCCTCCACCTACAGTTAGGTAACCTGGGCACTTTGAATATAAGGCAATCAACTATTTGACTAGATTAAGAGTTTAGAATAACAACGTGAGTTCCCTACAATAATGAGAAGTGAATGATTCATCACTACGGAAAAAAACCCGCATATGGTATTAACTAGTTCAATTTCCGACCCCCGCCATCACCCACTCCCCAAATAATCACTACAACAATCATCTGGGTAAGTTCAACTCCCTGACAAGCTGTATACGTCCCACTGCTTGTGCCTCCAAACTAGAGACTTCTTGGGAATCGAAATAAGCCAAAGCTGAGTACAATTAATAAGGAAAGCTCAACTTCCAACTCTGCACCAAGAACAAGGGCAGGTGGAACGTCCCTAAAATGCCTGGGTCCCTGGATATCGCCAAAACGGCCCCACCTCCCTCGCTGTCCACAATGCTTTGCACTTCTTCATCCCAGTGCACTCGCCGACAGCAGCCCATGCAGCCAAACGCCCATCCACTTCCCCCGTCTCAGTCCCTTGGTCTTTTGGCTCACCCCAGGCAGCCAGACAGTCGATCTGCAGAGGCAGCTTTTCTAAGATCGGCACCGGCTCGAAAGCGTCATGCATGGCGACGAGCAGAGTCGCCCCGACAGTCTCACCCTGAGCGTACCAGGCCGGGCTCGGGGCTAGAACTAGGCTAAAAGAGGGCCGCCCAGAATCCAGCCGAGAACCCCAACTACAGGCCCTTGAACAACAGAGCCATCAACACCGGACTTCCTGCTGTCTAAGCCCACCCCTTCCGCAACTGAAGTCCCGCCCCTTCCGCCCCGGCTCCTAACGCACCTTCAAGGAAGGGTGCATCAGTGCTTGGGTGTCTATTTCACCCAGAGACCCAGTTTCTCCATTGTGAAGTCCGAGTAGCCATGGGATTAACACGGGGAGGAAAATATCTTAATCTTAGAGCTGTTATAGGCAGTGTGGCGTGGTGGTGAAAGAATTAGGGCTTTGGCCGTCAGACCTGGGATGATCTGCCATTTAGGAAATTAGCTGTGACGTTTAAGAAATTTAACCTCCAGATGAGTTCAATTTCCTTATTTGCAAAATGATGGCAGTGTTATCTACCTACCTAGCGTTGTGAGAGCTTATCAATTCCTGACACACTGAGCGCTCCATAAATGGTAGTTTTAGTATTACCATTATCATCCCAGCCTTACCCTTACATTTTAAAGGTTGTTCCAAGCCAGTGGTTCTCTAAAGGGGATCCCTAGACTAGCAGCATTAACATCATCCTGGAAGCTTGTTAGAAATAGTCTCAGGCCTCATTCTAGCCCTTACTGAATCAGAAACTTTGAAGGGGGTAGGGACGGGATGGGAGGTGTCCAGCTGTCTTGTTTTAATAAGTCCCCCTGGTGAGTCCATGCACTTTAGAGAACCACAGCAAGAATGATTTGTATCTGACAATTTCTCCCCCAAGAACAGCAGGTATGTCATAAAATTAAGCATTTTGGTTCAAAGCAAAAGTGTAAAAGACAAAAGGGGTGAGTCTATGTATAAAGTAAAAAAAATGGCCCTGGTCACTTTATTTTTATACATCAGTTTTTTCATCTGTAAATTAGAAATATTGTCCCATCTTTACTAAATGCTGCTTCTGATAATCAAATATTTTCAAGTAGTAAAAAACAGAGAAACTGATAAACAAATCTTGTGCTGTCTGGCTTTTATCATACAAACTTAACACCTTGAAAATTTAGAATTAGCTGCTGTGCTGGAAGGAGGTCTAATAATACCTTGTAGTTCCAGGCCCAAGGACCAAGATTAAAATAAATGTAATACTATAAATTCTTTCTGAACCTGTTCTAAAAATATGATACAGTATGGATATACTATAACATAAGCTGTAAGAAAAAGCAGAGAGAATTTTCAGGCTCCAGGCTATAGAATTTGTACTATATACTCCTGCTTAACACGCAGTTGTTTTTTTTCTAGTCTTAAGTTGACATCTAACTGGCCTCAAAACTACTTGACCAACTATCCTGTAGCATTATGACTTATTGGTTAAGAACACAAGCATACAACAGTTACACCAGCCTTTAGCAAAAGGTTAATCTAAGAATATAGTTAATTCCCAATATGTATGGTTCCTTAGGATATTGCGTAGGCCATTTTTTTTTAAAATCACCACAGCAAACAGCTATAGAAAAATGTAAACACTTTCACTATGAGTTAGTGAAGATTGTGGTCATGTGGTCATTGGTTTCCACGGATAACATGATACAGAACAAAAACCATGAAAGAAAAATCTCCCATAGGAGAAAGGATCTAAAAAGTCTGAAAAAAATGAGAAACACATTAATTTTGTTAAAATTTTTTATATTAAAAAATGGCATGAACTTTCTATGTAGAACAAAACTCTTGGGAAGGCAAAAGTGGACAAAACCATTAAAACAGAAATAGAGTGCTTCAAATGAATCCCATCACCTTGTGATGTCTCTTATAAACAACCAACACCAGATATAAGAACAGTCAATCCTACAGAATAAGCAGCAGTCCAGGGCCTCCACACTATTTCATGCAGAAAAAACTGTTTAAATTAAGCCAGAAGGACCTTCTTCTGAAGAATTACAGTTCTTAGCAGGGTGCTCATTCACAAGCACTTGGAGTGCCTCTCTGAGTCTAGTGCAACACCCAGTGAATGGCATGAAGGCAAACAAAGCACTGCCTAGGACTCCTCAATGCTGCCTTGGAGGCTTACAAAACAGTAGTTAAAAGTTCTGAGTGTGCACCACATTGCCAGCAATGGGATCTGTCACAATAGCAGATGTCAAAAGAGTTAAGCTAATATTTCTCTCTAAAGTACATCTGAAATAGAAAAATCTTTAATATACACCATTTGTAAACAAAATTGCACTTGATTTTGCTTTTTTAAATGATCTGAATTACACTGTAACCGTTTCTCTCCCTTTTTTTTTTCCCCCTTTCTTTTAATCATTGACAGAACCATGGCTCCTTAAGTCAGAAGGACTCTTTTTTTTTTTAACTCAAAACTACCTCTGCAAGATGTAACCTTGGCTTCCCAGGAAATGGAAAGATCATTAACAATTTCCCCCATCACCTATGTAACTCCCTAAATAAATAAAAATTACAGGCAGTTGTTCCTGGAGATTACATACATATTATCGAGTTGATGCCGCAGTTCTTTAGAGGATGTTAAACTTTTTAGTTTGACAGATTAAACAATTTAAACATTATAGAAGGTTCAGGAACAACACACAGAAGTTGCATAAAGATTCATGTCAGGGTGTGGGAGGGAAAGGGGCATCAATGTTGTAAATAAGAAACTTGTAGATTTTTCTCATCCTATGAACTTGTTTTCAATAACATGTTCTCCTTGTTCTGACACCTCTCGCCAGCTCCAATGCACAAAGATCAAGGAATAGATCAGGATGTCATAGCTTCCTTTAATCCCATGGAGCAGTGTAGAAGACTAACACAGAAGCTGATCTCTTCCCAGATACTAGCCATCTTCAACAGCACATCCTCCCATTCTTTACTCCATTTTGGACCTTTCAAAGTGTGTGATCATTCGTTCCTAGGGAAAGAAAAAAAAAGGTTTATTCTAAGTGCATTAACTTTAAATGGTCCACATTCCAAATATCTTCTACATAGATGGTGCACACATACTTTTTCCACAAGTACTTGTTTATGTTCATTAAATATTTAGAGCCATGGTTCCTAATCATCTATGAAGATTTTAAATCATAGAGATGTCCAGGCCCCACACAAAATTCAACTGAATCAAACTTGCTAAGCTTCCAGGCATCAAACCACAAATCAAAAGAATTTTATGTTTCAGAGACAATTAAGATAATTAAACAAATGTTTACTTAAGATTAAGCTTGGATAAAAAATGTGTATCTGATTCAGAAATTTAACAAAAAGAAATAGTCAAGTATGTGGGCAAAGATTTAGCCACAAGCATTTCTACGGCAACCCTCAGAATTTTAACAAAATACTACAAAGACTTAAGTGTCCAAAAATACAGAATTGTGTAAACCAAGTATGGTATATCCATATAATGCAATATGATACGAAAAGAGTTCTAGAGATCTGTTACACAACAATGCACATATAGTTAACACTTTACACTTGAGAATCGTTAGGATGATCACTTTATGTGTTTTTCACCACAATTTTGTGGTGCGTTCAAAATGCTTTCTGAGATCAAGAGACTCTAGAATAACCTAATATTAAGAACCTACCCTGAACTAGTTCCCAAGACTATTGTGAAGCCTTCTAGATGAACTGTATGGAGGTATATTAAAGGATTAAAAATCAACATAAAAATTAGAGGTATTAATTTTAATCCTTAATATCTGAAGAGGATACTGACACTAGTAACACTGAATGGTAGTAACTTAAATATTTTGCTTTGGTCTATTACACTCCTTTCTCAATACTTTTCTCTTCATTATTTTTACCTAGATTAGATAAAGGTTAAATCTGAATATCTCAAAGACAAAGGAACCAGAAAGCAGGACAGTATGGTATTTGCTATCCAATTTAAACAAAGACATTCTCAAGTCTAACCATATAACTTTGGAAAAGGAGGACATGTACAGAAAGAAAACATTCGTGAATATCTGAGTTCTAGTATTAATATTTCCATTCTCATCCTTTTTCAGTGATACGCTTACTGAGTTAAATAAATAAAATCTCCCTGAATACAGGCCTATGACTCCCTATTAAGTCACCAGACCCACAGTTTATGCACATGATTCGACTGCTAACCTCATCTGAATCCAGAAGGGCTGGAAGTGCTCTGCAGAGAGAAAAACACCAAATTGAATAACATAAAATAAAGCCGTAAGTGGTTCATAAAAGACAGTGGAATAATAATTTCAATTTAAAGCTTTTTAAAAATAATTATCTAAGATTTGCATCTCATTAATGACTGTTTAAGGTGTGGGGGAAACAAATACAAAAGTAAGAAGCAAAGTTACTGTAATTATATAGAAAAAACAAAACATGTTCTGCATTGTAATAGGACCAATGTTTAGTAAAATGACAGCCATAGAAAGGAACTCAAAAATTCCAAAGAATTAGCCCATTGATTTTGGAGATCTAGAGCTTAATCTTTCTAAGCAGAAATGTCATCTGAACGAATAATCCTGATTACTTTTCTTTGTATATCATTCCTAATCTTTCATTATTTAATATCTTTTTAACATTTTTAGTTATTCTTTTAAGTAATTTAGTCTTATATTTCTAAAGTTAACTAAAAGCATTCTCTTAATATACTCTTCAACTCATTCATTAAAATAATAAAAGTAATACTAACTTTATTTATTTATTTATTTATTTATTTTAATACTAACTTTAAAATAACATTTTTGTAATGATTCAAAGACTTACACGTCTGTCACAGAAGAAGGAACATTCTCTTCTACCCACTTCAAATCATCTTCCTGCTGGAAACATACAAGTACCAATTGTTACTAAAATGAATAAAATAATATTTCAAGTAAAAATCTAAAGAGGTCTCAAAATTTTTAAACGTAATCTTCTGTCACTCTGAAGTAGTATAGTCACATAATAATAAATGGGACTGCTAACAGAAAAATCAAATAATTAAAATGTAGAGTGAATGCACAGTTCTAAAAAAAAAAAAAAATCTGCTGACTAAAAAATCTCAATCTCTACTACAAAAAAGACCTGAGGTTATTAATGAGGCTATAACTTCATTGATGAAAACCATTAAACAGAACCATCAGACTAGTCTG